CAAACCCACAAACCATGAGATAATGCCCTGAGTCGAAGTTGGATGCTTAACTGACTGAGCCACCCAGGTGCCCCACATTTCACTTCTTTTAGGACTTATTCTTTTCCATGTAATTAATCCTTGTCTTAATTGAGAATTGCTGAGTTTTCTGAGTATCTCTCATTAATCTAATTCTTTTCAGACACAACAGGTAAAAGAGACATTTCTCCTCTAACCCTCTGTTCTTCTGCCCCAGTTGAGACTTACATAGCTATGAAGAATTTCTCTTCATTATCGTCCCATTGATTTCCTTTACCATACTCCTTTACATTCCTTTTTATTCTCTTCTCTGTTTGGATGCCTTGGATACCTTTGTCTACCTTGACTGTTGGATCTCTTGCCTTCCTCTTTTTTGGTTTATTCCTTCATTATTCTGATGCACATCTTCCAAAAACAACCAAGGAAAGTATGCAAGAAATGTAAATAGAAAGTGTATTCTGTGGGGGTGCCTGGCTGACTCAGTCGGCGGAGCATGCAAGTCTTGATCTTAGGGTTGTAAGTTCAAGACCCACATTGGGTGTAGAGATAATTAAAAAAAATAAAATCTTTAAAAAACAGAAGTGTATTTTCTGAATGTCTGAATATGTCTGAAAATGTCACTGATAATTTGCCTGGAGATGTAATTTTAGGTTGAAAATCTGAACTTCCAAGTTTTGAAGGCATTGCCCCACAGATTTTTAAAATCTAGCATTTAGTGTTGTTGAGAAATATAACTCATTCAGGTTCTTCATTCATTCATGTGATCTGTTTAATCTCTTTGGAAGCTTTTAGAATTTATCTTTATTTATAATGCTCTAATATTTCAAGTAGAGGTATCATGATGTTGATTTTGTTCTTTTATTTGGGCACTCAGTGAGACATTTCATTCTGGAAACAAAAATCTCTGAAATTTTCTTGTACTATTTTCTTGTTTATTCCACATTGTCTTCTCTATTGTCTGTGTTTCAAACTTTGAATGTTCCCTTTTTTTGAGAGAGAGAGAGAGATTGTCTGCATGCGTGCTCAAGCAGAGGAGAGGAAGAGAGAGAGACAGAATCCCAAGCAGGCTCAGCACTGCCAGGGCAGAGCCCAATGCGGTGCTTGAACCCATAAACTATGAGATCATGACCTGAGCCTAAACCAGGAGTCAGACACTTAACCAACTGAGCTACCCTGGTGCCCCTGTTCACATTTTATTTCTAGTGCCTGGGACCCATGTCTGACATATAGTATGGGCTCATTAACTTTTTGGAATGATTGAACACTCATAGTTCAGAGCTTAAATTTCTTGTCTTTGCTCTTGAATCCTTTTCTTGTACTTTTTATATGAATTTATTGTTTTAATTCTCATATTAATTTTTATAAAAGATCTTTTTCTTTGAATATTGTTTCTGACATTATTCTCTTATGACATGTGCATTATGTATTTTTAAAAGCATTCTTCTTTTGAATTTTTCTCCATTGTCTTTTCTGAGTGTTTTTTTCCTTTGTCCATTTTAATCTGTCATGTTTAAGATTTTCCTGAAACTGCCTGTGACTCAAGGCTGTCTGTCCATATAAAACTGTGGTATTAAAAAGCTGATAGGGGGGCTCCTGGGTGATTCAGTCAGTTAAGCATCAGACCCTTGATTTCCTCTTAGGTCATGATCTCACAGTTCATAGGATCAAGCTGCACATCAGGCAATGCTCTGACAGTACAGAGCCTGATTGGGATTCTCTCTCCCTCTCTCTGCCCTGCTTGCACACACTCTCTCAAAAGAAAAAGTTTCAAAAATTAAAAATATGTATATTTTTAAAAAGCTAATTTGAGCTTATTTGTGTATGAAGAAGCGTAGATTTATTGGTGTTAGTCACTGTAGAGTGATCTTCCTAGAACAGTTTGTTGGCTGATACCACCTATCAGATACTTTCTCTTGGGTTGGTTTCCTCCAGAATGGAATCCTTTACTTTCTTTCTGGGAGTCAATAAAATGAGCTTGGTTGCCACATTCTGAAAGTGTACTGATTATGTGAGGTGTATGGGTTTGCGTATCTGGGGTCTGTCTGTTTCTTACAGATTTTCACTTAATCTTACTTTTTGAACCCCTCCTGCACCTACTTTCAAAGGTACTTTTTGATTATAGTTCTTAGAAATAACAATTCTACAATAAGAGCAATCTACAACCTAAGTTTCAGTGTGTTTATGGTTAACAAATTATTTATTACCATGACCTCTACGCTAGCTTCCAACACTTTGTTGCTGCTCTTTCCTATTTTTTGTCCTTGTGGAGTTTCTTGTTCAATCTCATCACTGTCACTTTAGTGGGACTTCACGAAGGAACAGTAATAAATGCATATATTCACTGTGCTGTGTTTGAAAAGAGTGTGTCCATTTTTTTCTAGAAGAATGTTCTAAGGAGTATACATTTAAAGACTTGCTTATTGAGTCAGTTAATAAATATTTGTTGATCTTCCAGTACATACCAGATACGGTGCTTAGAGTTAGATACACACTGATGAAGACAATGGACATTTCCTTTCCTTCATAGAACTTGACACTTATTCAGGGAAAAAGATATTAAGCAAACCTAAATGAATATGTAATTACAAATTGTGAAAATCCTGTTAAGGAGGACAACAGAGTGCTAAAATTGTAATTGCAAGGAGAGTATAATTTGGTCACGGAGCCAGGAAAAGCCTCAAAAAGTATGACCTTTAAGTGGAGATTTGGAAAATGGGTATTTGTTATCAAGGCCAAGAGTAAGCAACAACAGCAAAGAAAAACACCTATTAGACCTAAAGAAAAGTACCTGCAAAGACTATTAAGAGCAACTAAAAGCTGGGAGCATTTGAAGAACTGCAAAGTAGGGCCAGCGTGGATGGAGCTTAGCAACCAAAAGGGAGCATAGCCTGAGATCTGTTTGAAGAGACAGGCAGCAATTAGATCATTCAGAGCTTTGTAGACCATGTTCAAGTGTTTGGCTTTTCTTGTGAGAGAACTACCATAAGGGATGGATTCAAGATTGCAGACCTCAAGTGGGAAAACTAGGTAAGAAAGACACTGTCCCAATAGTTCAAGAGATACTTAGATATTGAAGATAGGAGGAAGAGTTTTAAGATCTGTTTAGGAGCAAGATTAGGCAGTATTTGCTAAATAATTATATGAGAGAAAAGATGGTACTAGAATGATTTTCACTTTTTTGGCTTTAGTCTTTTCCATAGTGTGGTCTTCAAAACACTGCACTTGCCTACTAATATGCCCATTTTCATATAGAAATTGTTTTGTATTATCTCTCAAATATTGAACACTTATGCCAAATATTCTTATATATCACTTACAATTCCCTCAATGATTATAAGAGTTATTATTCCTATTTTATAGACAGAGAGTTGAGGGCTCAGAAACATGAACTACTTTGCCCAAGAAAACAAAGCTTGTAATTAACTGAGTGTGTATTAAAAAATTTACAGCTGAATCTGGTAACTTTTTCAATAGCAGATCACTGCTTCTATATCTTTTACCTTCTCATTAAACCTACAAATGCTCTTCTTGTCAGTTGGTCATCACTACTATAGTGCTTATGTTCTTTTTAAGTCCTCTCCTCTTTTCTCCTAAGATCAGCATCCCAGAATTCGAAGCCAAAAAGTGTTTTTATCAGAAGATGTGGTTTATATATATACAATGGAATACTACATGGCAATGAGAAAGAATGAAATATGGCCATTTGTAGCAACGTGAATGGAACTCGAGGGTGTTATGCTAAGTGAAATAAGTCAGGCAGAGAAGGACAGATACCATATGTTTTCATTCATATGTGAAACAGGAGAAACAACAGAAGACCATGGGGAAGGGAAGGGGAAAAGATAGGTAAGGAGAGGGAGAGAGGCAAACCATGAGAGACCCTTAAATACTGAGAACAAACTGAGGGTTGAGGGGGTTGGAGGGAGGGAAAAGAGATAATGGGCATGAAGGAGGGCACTTGTTGGAATGAGCACTGGGTGTTATATGGAAACCAACTTGACAATAAACAAAAATTTTTTTAAGTATTTTTATCAAACCCCAAGCATATTCCATATTTAGCCACAAAAGAATCTTCACTATATGATGCTCATGCTGGATTTATTCATTCCTGCCATCTGGATTGCCGCTCTCTATTTCCTTATTTGTTAAAGAGACCCTGGGCCTCCAGTTACAGAATTGAGGACAGTGCTGCCCAATAAAACTTTTAGTGATGATGGAAATATCCTATGTTATTTCCAATACTACCACCATTAGCTATTGAATACTGGAAATGTGGACAGTGCTATTGAATTAAATTTGAATTTTCATATAATTTTAATTATGTTAAACAGACACAAATGCTAATGGCTACTGTAATGGACAACATAGATCTAACCAGGAACTGGCAAACCATTTTCCTGAATGCCAAATAATAAATATTTTAAGTTTACAGTCGACATGTTCTCTGTTGCAGCTACTCACTTCTGCCATTGTAGCTCAGAAACAGCCATAGACAATATGTAAACAAATAAGTGTAGCAATGTTCCAATAAAACTTTACTTATAAAAATTGTTACAGTGCTGCAGGCCATAGTTTGCCAACTCCTGGAAATTTTATCTTATACTCATTTAATCCTGATAATAACTCTATTAAGTAGGTAATCATTTCCCTTATTTTATAGTTCATGTTGTAGGGTCCTCTTACAGGTGTGTGTGTATTTGCTCTGAGGTTTGGTATGTGTATCTATGATTAGAGACGTTTTGTAACAAGGGAGTTAAGACTAAGTTATCTGTATGTTCAGCAAGCTCCCCTAAATGGTTCTTATCAATAGCAATGTTTGGAAATCAGTGGCTTACTTACTACCCTCATCTTACTATATAATCTGTCCTTGTTCTCTTCTCATCTATTTTTTTTTAGTTCAGATTAATTTTCCCATTTTAACTGAAGTTTTATTTCTCCCAAACAAGAAAAATATGAGTGATTACCTGCATATTTTCTTTCAGTCCTGGAATCAAGATGTGAGACCAAGAAATTATTTCTGAAGAAGGAAAGTTATGAAATAAAGTCAGCGCAGTGGGAGATAATGGAAAGACTTACAAGACATGACCTTCAGTGCTCTAGTTTCAGAGATAATTGGGAATGTAATGGCCAGTTTGAGAAACATGGCTCTCAGGAGGGACGCTTCAGTCAACTGATATTCACCCATGAAGGCATGCCCACTTTCAGTCAGCATCCATCCTTTACATTACAGCAAATCATCAATAATAAAGAGAAATACTGTGGAACTAAGGAATATAAAAAAGCCTTTAGACATGACTCACAGCTTACTACGCATCAAATAATTCATTCCATTGAGAAACCCTATGAATGTAAGGAATGTGAAAAGGCTTTTCGTTCTGGTTCGGACCTTACTCGACATCAGAGAATTCATACTGGTGAGAAGCCCTATGAATGTAAGATATGTGGGAAAGCCTATTCTCAGAGTTCACAACTTATCAGTCATCATAGAATTCATACTGGTGAGAAACCCTATGAATATAGAGAATGTGGGAAGACGTTTAATTATGGCTCACAACTTATTCAACATCAAAATTTGTACTGGTGATAAACCATAGAATGTATGAACTCTGTAGGAAGGTTTTTAATTACAACTCAAAACTATTCAACATTAGAGAATTGGTCTTGATATTAATCCCTTTAAATAGAATATTGTAGAAATTTCTTATTTGTTGACTCCAGCTTATTCAGCCTGAGAAAAATCATGTAGGAGAAGCACCCTCTTCGTAGAATATATTTTGGAAGCCCTTTAATAAAAGTTTATTTTTCTTTTGACATCAGATAATTCAAGCTAGCAGTCATTGAAAATCACAGCACTTTTAACACCTTTCTATCCTTATTTTAAACCTCAGAATTTATGCTGAAGTATAATCCTGAGATTTTTGGTTTTCCCCCTAAATTGTCTATAGTTGTTATATTGATATTTTAACCCATCTTAAATTTATATGACTGTAAGGTCCATCTGTTTACATCACAGTTTGTAAAATGCCTTTAATACCTGGAAGAAGTGACCTCCTTATTCAAAGATGGCTTATTCTTTCTGTTATTTACAAAACTTGGAATTTCTTCTTGTAAAAACATTGATGAACTTTCCACACAGTAAATAGAGATCCTTTCATAGCTTCCTGGTGCTTCCTTATGTTGCTGTGATATCACTTTGTCATATTCCTACTGATAGACATTGTAGTTTCCCAGAGTTTTTGCCATTATACACAGTACCCTAATGGAAATTCTCCCTTGGCATATCATTGTATCATGTATTTTAATTGCAGAAATTGTGCATGAACATATTTTCCTTTTAAAAGATTTAAACATTACAAATAAGGCAGGTATACCCTTTGACTATCATCCTTGTACCCACTTCCCTTTCTGAAGGATAGTCATTATCTGTTTAGTATTTATGCTTCCTGACCATTTTTCTATGTTTTTATACATACTTGTCTCAGTAGAAACTATAAAATGGGGACAATTATAATACCTACCTCAAAATTTTATGTGAGGGTCAAATAAATTAAGACACATAAAGTGCTTAGAATTGTGCCTGCCATATAATAAATATTCACTGAATGTTGGTCATTATTTTAGTCATCGTTGTCATCAGTGTCATTTGTTGAAAAACATTTTCTGCAGACCTTGCTGAACATCAAGCAAGATATATAGTTGAAGAAAGACATACACAGGATAATGAATTCAGAAAATTTTCCATCATCACTTTCTATGGAACATGAAATTATCGTAGGTATTGCTGGGGAAAGTAATGTGTGGAAAGAACTTTTCAGACTGGCATCCTTTTACTACATCATATAATACCTACCGTAAAAACAAGAATGTAGACAATTGCGACATTGATGAAAAAGTGAAAGGAACACACACACACACAGAAACCTTACTGATTTAAAATGTTATTTTAGGAGTGCCTGACTGCCTCAGTTGGTGTAACGTATGACTCTTGGTCTCAAGGTTGTGAGTTCAAGCCCCACACTGAATATAGAGATTACTTTACAATATTTAATAAAATAAAATATGTTAAATGCAACGCTTCTTTCTGATACATTTGAAAACCTGAAAAAATTATTTTTTAGGAAAATAAAAATGCGGTATTGACTCAGAATTAGAACTCTCAGAAGCCTCAAAAACAGAGAAAAGGAGAAATTTAGTGTGATATAGTAGCTATTACTACTAACAAAGCACCAAACAAATTTTTTTTTCAGGAAAAACATTATCACATGTCTAAGGAATTATCTGTTATATAGAGGTAGACATCTCATAACATACCTACCCAAATATAATCTTGATGTTAGAACAATATTAGGACACCTAAAAACAAGCTATTTTTTTAGTATCTTTGAAGATATATGCGAACATACTAAGGAAACTAGCAGACCCTGGTACCTATTAAAATAATAGAAATGAACCTGGTTGCAGCAGTTGCTAAGGAGGATACCCAGTGCGTTCCAACTAACTGATGTGAGGAGGTGCAAACCCCATTTTGCAAGCTCTTCTGACTTTTCGAGAGTCTAGATTTTTAAAAAAAATTTTCTTTTTGCATTTATTTATTGTTGAGAGACAGAGAGCACGAACAGGGGAGGGGCAGAGAGAGAAGGAGACACGGAATCCGAAGCAGGCTCCAGGCCCTGAGCAAACTGTCGGCATAGAGCCCGATGGGCGGGGGGGGGGGGGGGG